TAATAAGCCTGAAAATGATTCTGTGAATACGACAGAACGTTAACAACACTAACCTAATCAATGAACAAAATTTATTCGCGCTAAGAAGAAACCCTTCTCATTGCGGTTGAGTGTATAAGTGCAACATGAAACAGCGTTGTGCAAGCAATAAAACAATGTCGAGTTTGATACTATGGTAAAAAAAACAGAACAGAATCACAATACGCATACTTTGCAATATGCAAGAAAAACTACCGGAAAATATTTACCAGAGATAAAGAAACAATAAAAATATAAATTAGTGATGCTACATTACATAGTTTCTCTATTAATATTTGGTTAAATTTGCAATTTCTGAAAATTTCAAGAATTCGAAGAAAATTTGAAGCCATTCTTTTCAAGTCTTCCTTGTTCTATTCGCTAAAAAATAAAGAAAAAGATTGGAGACATTAAAAGAAACAATTGAAACAACTTGAATTGGAAATTACTCCAAAATTACGTTCTTTAAACAAAGTTGAATATGACCTTCTTTAAATATCTATTCTTAGATAATTTTTCATTAAAAAAATCTATCATCAATATTGTCCTTTTACAGTTATTATTTGCAATTTTACACAGAGTTCGCCGAAAGTGGAACCTGCACTAATGTTTTTATTGTCTCCCTAAGGAGAGAACAAGTTAAGTATTACTACGAAGAAGTTAAATAATAAAATCGGCGAATTTTGGGCAGGAAAACTCTTATTGCAAGGCTCTGGTAACGAAAAAGTGGGTAAATCCAGTTGCTAAATTTATAAAAAATCCTCTAACTTGTGGTGAAGCTAGAATCCATGTTTTGTGGGTCCTTGATATCGAAAAATCTAATGACGGATAAACGTCTGCCTGTCCGTCCGTCTGTCCGCCTGTGAACAACGCTTGCGGCTAAACCATTCAGCCGATTTTCTCCAAAATTGATATTGCCCAATCGATCTGACTGATGTCGCCGGCCCTTAAATTTAAAACCTATATTTTTATTTTGGGTGTGCTGTATATGAAGCCGCTGGATCAGTTTCCAAATTTTCAAAAAAATGTCTCCATAATTATTTTATTAAATTTTGCTGTTGGATAGTGCGATGGACGTTTAGGAGAATGATGCAGGTCTCATGTTCGTTGAAAATTAAGTTTTCGAAAATTTCAAAAGTTTAGATATATTTTCGGAGTCTTCTTACAACTAAAGTATTAAATATAGAGATATTTCCTTAATGAAATATTTTCCCTAAACATTGATTTACAAATAAGATTACGGACAATTATTCGAAAATTTGAGTTCTTTTCGCGTAATTTTGCGTGAAATAAGGGGGAGGTAGTATGCTACTTTATCATCACTAGTTATCTGTTTGCTGCTGAACACTAACCGATTTTTGCGGCACTATTAAAATATTTTCCATTTACTACGTACGTAGTAAGGCGCAAAAGTAAAAATTACACACACTAGCTCCCCCTGTTCCTGAGTGCTGAAGTATTAACCGCGATACTAGCCCCTGGGTATCAGAGATTACAATTGTCACTTACTGTGGAACTTTTGGTGAGCAAAACAGAATTTTTTTTTGTTGAGATTCTTCCGTTTCTCCCGAATGACATTCTACGTTTTCATCACTACCATAATAATAATAATAATAACAATAATAATAATAGTAATAATAATATTTATTTATTTATTTATTTATTCATTTATTTATTTATTTATTCATTTATTTATTTATTTATTCATTTATTTATTTATTTATTTATTTATTT